TTAAAGAACAAACTTGAGCCCTGGCCGGTTTGGCTCAGCGGTTAGAGCGTCGGCCTGCGGTACAGAAAGACCCGGGTTCGGTTCCCGCTAAGGGCACGTACTTCGGTTGCAGTTTGTCCCCGGCCCTGGTTGGTTGTGCGGGTGGCAGCCACTCGATGTGTCCCTTTCACGTCGATGTTTCTCTCTCTCTCTCTCTTCCTCTCTCTCCCTCCCACTCTATCTGTACAAAAAATGTCCTCAGGTGAGGATAAAAAAAAAAAAAAGAAAGAACAAACTTGATATACTGTCCTGTATAGCATCAACTTGTAGTCTACAAACATATTCTCAAAGCATAAAAATCAGAGAAAATTTTTAATATAGAATTAATTTTCCCTCTCCAGAACAGTAAAATTTGAATGCTCTCTTGAAAAATAATGTATACTCTGAAAGACTTTATGTAGCAAATTCAATTTTAACTTTTGCAGGTCATTTTTAAAGTTTTATTAAAGACTATATATTTGAAATAACAATTTTGTAATGTTTTCAATTTGTTGACTTGATTTAGTCACATTAAAATTTTTGGTGTATTATGCCTAGAATATTTTAGATTATATTACTGTACAAATGTTGACTAATATATAGAGTTCAATGATAAAATAAGCTCTGGTGTTTAAGTTATGAAGTGAAGGAATTTTCCGAGTGTATTAACCACACATAAGATAAGATACTGGGACTCTTAATCCTCATGGATATTCAAAAGCATAGAAAAGCATCCCACTATAAACGCAGTTGTGTAGGAAGACATATGGAGCTCTTTGCCTCCATGGCCTGCCTGCAAGTGAGTTTTCCCAGCCATGGCTGCATTTAGAGAACAATAAACTTTCCCTTCTTTATGTTTGTGTGAGTGGTGGGCTCCTGGCACCAGCAGCTTCCTTTGCCTTCCTTAAATCTCAGGAAAAGTGGAGGGAGAAGTGTCTTGGCAGAGTGGACCTCCATCCTACCGCTGCTCCTCAAATCTCCTCTGCACCTGCAATGCACATTGAATTGTATAAAATGAGGCAATGGGGAACTGCAATGCACTAAAAGGAAATTGTACCTTCCAGTCAATCATAATAAATATATTCTATTCCATGTATTGAGAAATAATAAATATAGAGATGCTCTACTGGTAGCATAGAGGCAAACAGGAAACTGGAAATGAGTGTTTTTACAAGTTCTGCTTAATGCCTATTTCTCATCTGAGATATCCTGATTATATCGTGCTTATGCTGATACTTCTGTTGTCTATCCAGACTAATATATAATGTTAAATTGAGTTAATTTTGGCGAGGTTAAAAATTTGTTATACACGTTCATACAGACATTACACTAGGAGGGGGGAAAAAAGAAATTTTTCATGTTTGTAAATGATTATATTGATGGTAAAGAAAATGCCTTTTTTTTTTTTTTTTTTAGGCAAAACTAGTCATTTATTTTATTAACATATTCTACATTGATTAAAATAGCTCCCTTGGCCCCAGCTCAGTTGGTTGGAGCATTCTCATATACACCAAAAAGGTTGCAGGTTCAATTCCTAGTTAAGGCACATACTTAGGTTGCAGGCTTCATTCCTGGTCCAGGCACATACTGGAGACAACTGATCAATGTTTCTCTCTCTCGCATTGATGTTTCTCTCTCCCTCTTTCTCTCTTCCTTCCTCTCTCTGTAGAATTAATAAACATATCCTTGGGTGAAGGATATATAAAAACTCCCTTGAATCAAAGCAATGTTTAAATTTCTCACAAATCATTTCCATTTCATAGCCTTGTATTTAAAAATGGGTATCAGGACTCTATTCAAAGTTCTCTTTGAACAATCAAAATACAAATAATAAACATATAGTTGCTATGGGGTAGACAGAATCCTCTTTTCAATGTTTTAGGGAAGTGTTTTAGAAAATGTCTTTTTGGAATGGGAAGGCAAGCCACAGATACTGTCTACACATAAACATCTGCCTTTGTACACTGTTTACAAAATAAAAGCTATTTATAGTCTTTAGATAAACAAAATTTCTCGGAAGCAATTTTATCAACATTTCTTGAAACTCCCAGTCTGTCATCATCAAAATTCTCTATATGTTCAGCCTTTCTTCCTAACATTTCCCTTCACTTTCCTTCTCTGAGGGAAACCTGGCTGTCCCACAAGATTCTCACCCTCGTAGCCCTCTCAAGTGGAGCTTTGCTCTCCCACAATCTTTTTGTCTTTAGGTCTGGAGATAATTATGTGTGCTTCGTGCTCCTCGTTGCCATTTCCAGATGCTTGCCCTTCCTTCTTTAAAAAAGCCTCATTTTGTAAGCTTCTATCCATCATATTAGAAGATTTGTCACTGTGCTTTCGTTAAATATAGTTACAAATCCTTGGGCTCTTTCTGTCATCCCTTAAAAGGTTTTTTGTTTTGTTTTGTTTTCTTTTGTAGCAAATCACTGTCACTATCTTATATGATTGTCATCGCTCTTAGTAACGTCAGTATTTACATGTTTACCTTGCCATACTGTGGCCGGGTAGTTCAGTTGGTTAGAGCATCATCCCCTATGCCAAGGTTTTGGATTTATCTTTAGTCAGGGTACATACAAGAGGCAACCAATCAATGTATCAATAAGTAAAATAACAAATGAATGTTGTTCTCTCTCTCTCTCTCTCTCACCCTTCCTTTCTCTCTCTAAAAATCAATCAATTAATAAATAAAAATTTAAGAGACTGCCAACATGTTTTCCAACATGATTGTATTCCAGTTCTTTAGCATCCTTGCAAATACTTGGTAGGTCAGTCTTTTTAAATTTTAGCCATTCTTATAGGCATATAGTGGTATGACATCGTGGTTTTCAGTTGCATTTACATGATGATTAATGTTGAACATTTATCTTTACATGTGTTTATCTATCACCTGTATATCTTCTTTGGTGAAATGTCTATTCAAATATTTTGTCCATTCCTTAAAAATGGATACTTGATTCTTTTAAAATTCAATTTTGATGAGTTCTTTTTATATTCTGTGTACGTGTTCATTATCAGATATATGATTTGTAAATGTTTTCTCCCAGTTTTGGCTTGTCTTTTCAAAGACCAGAAATTTTTAATATTGATTAAGTCAAACTTATCAAGTTGTTCTTTTAGGGATTGTGCTTTAAGGTGTTAGAGCTAAGAAATTTGTTTAACCCAGGGTCACTAAGTTTTCCTGTATGTTTTCTTCTAATAGTTTTATGCTCTATATTTAGTTTATTACCCATTCTGAGTTAAGTTTTGTATACAATGTAAGTTATGTTGAAAAGACTATCCTTTCTCCACTGAATTGCCTTTATAGCTTTGTCAAAATACATTTCTGTATATGTATGGTTCTATTTTTGTACTCCACAGTACGTTCATTGATCTATTTGTCTATCTTGGTACAATGCTGTTTTGATTTGTTTAGACTTATAATAAATCTTGAAAACAGGTAGTGTTACTACAATTTTTTTCTTCTTTCTCAAAGTTATTTAAGCTATTCTAAATCCTTTTCATTTCCATATTTTCAGATTGTTTTGTCGGTTTCTACAAAATAGCATTTTAGCAATTCTATGTGAACTGTATTCAATCCAGATATTCGTTTAGGAAGAATTATATATCTTAACAACATTTAGTTTCTGATTCATGAACATGATGTCTCTCTACATTTATTTTGCAATTATGAATATGGTTAATTTCAAGTCTTTCATTCTGCTAGGTGTTTTCATTTGTTCCATTCTATTTTTTGTTCCATTTTCTTTCTTTATCTACCATTTTTTTGTGAATAATTAAATATTTTTAATGACTTAATTTTATCTTCTCTTGGTTGTTTTTGTTATATTAGTGGTTTCTTTAGGGTTAGTAGTATATTCACAGCTTTAAGACTCATAGTTTATCTGCAAGTGATATTATGCCACTGAACATGTAGTATAAGGAACATACACTAGTATAGTCAGTTTTTCTCCTGTTGACCTTTGTGCTTTTTACATATGATGTAAAGCCCACACAACATTGTTATTATCTTGGTTTAAACTGTCAATGCTTTTAAAAAGAGATTTAAATAAGAAAAATAGGTTATATGCTTAACTAGGCAGATACCATCTGCCGGTGCTCTTCACACTTTATAGATCTACAGGTTGTTGTAGTATCATTTTCTTTCTGCCTTAAGGACTCTTTTTAAAGTGTCTTATAGTGAGACTGTTAGCAATGAATTCTCTCAGGTTTTTATATCTTTAAAAAAGTATTTTCTTTATCTTAATTTTTGAAAGATAATTTCATTTGGTATAGAATTCTAGACAGTTACCTTTTTTCTTTCAGTACTTTAAGCATATTGTTAAACTGTCTTCTCGTTTGCATTGTTTCTGACTATAATCTGCTCTCATGCTTGTCACTGTTCTCCCACATAGGTAATGTGATTTTTCTCTGTCTACTTTTAAGATTTTTTTTTTATGACAGATGTTGAGCAATTTTATTTATGTTGGGTGTTAGTGTAGTTTTTGTTGTATTTCCTATGATTGGGGTTCATTGACTACTTGGATCTGTGAGTTTATAATGATCAAGTTTGGAAAAGTTTGGCCTTTATTTCTTTAAATATTTGTACTGTGTCTAGCTCTATCCTCTCCTTAAAAGATACCAATTATATGTATACAGTCAAACCCCGGTTTTTGAATGTCTCCCATCTTGAAAAATTTAATTTTTGACCAAGTTGTTCACAGAAAATTGTCCCCTTGTCAAACAAAACTTTGGTTCTGGACCCAACAACCTTTCATACTGATAGGTGCATGATGAGTCAGGAGTCTCTCAGGCCGCAAACAACGGAGAGAATACATGAGTATGAGTCAGTTTATTGCTAAACCTCACATTGTTGCACTGTTAATGTCTCAGGAAACTGTGTTGTGAGTATTTATAGAGCAATATCACCATGACAAAGAAGTAGCAAACCATGAGAGAAATTGTTCAATGACAATGCAGTTTCACTACAGGCAAGTGTTAAAAAGCAGACAAAAGCAAACATCGTAGTATTGGTTTTTAGTGAGACAGAGGCCCAGTGAGCCTGATGCAAGTTCTAGTGGAACAAAGAGACAAAAGAAGAACAGCTACTTGTGTTTTGATGGAAGAGTGTTCCCCTTCCAAGCAATGACATCCCTCCATCCCTCCATCCCTCCATCTCTCCTTTTCATATTCAGTCGTCAATAGCTTTCATCATTAAAGGTAAATTCTAGTAAGTATGTAAATTTTTATATTTTGCTTTACATTTCATGTTCTTTTTGTTAAATTTTCATTTACATTTTATGGGCTCTTTATTTTTAAAGTGTTTATAGATTATACAGTACATTAGACATGCACTATATGCAAGAAAGGTTAAAATGGAATCATTTCAGGGTCTGGAATAGATTAATTTGATTTACATTATTTCTAATGGGAAAAAATGATTTGATTTTTGAACAAATTGCTTCTGCAACAGCCTTCCAGAATGAATTAAGTTCAAGAACTAAGGTTCCACTGCATTCACTTGAAGCTGCCATGCAGATCACTAAGGCTCTGCTCATTGTTTTGTTTTGTTTGTTTGTTTGTTTGTTTGTTTGTTTGTTTGTTTTAATTCTCTCTTCTTTCTGGGTTTGTTTTGGATAGTTTATATTACTATGTCTTAAAATTTACTCATATTTTCTTTTATAATGTCTTATCACAATCAATCCCATCCAATGTATTTTTTATTTAACACATTTTAAGTTTCATCTCTAGGAGTTTGACTTGGGTCCTTTTTATGTCTCAATTTAATTTTTTGAACAAATGGAATACACTTACATTGTTTCTAAGTTCTCATTTGCTAATTCTGTGTCAGTTTTGGATTGCTTTCAAGTGGTTGATTTATCTCCTCATTATGAATGAAATTTCCCTGCTTCTTTGCATGCCTGATAAATTTTTATTTGATTCAAGGCACTTTGAATTTTGCTTTATTGAATGCTGAACAATTTGTATTCCTATAAATATTTTTGACCTCTGTCTGGGAAGCAGTTAACTTACTAGGAAACTGATCATTTGGGTCTCACTTTAAAGATTTGTTAGGTAGAGCTGGAGCAGTGCTCAGTCTAGGGCTATTTACTCCATACTACTGAGGCAAGACACTTCTCTATGCTTGACCAAATGTCTTGTGAAACTTGAAAATTTTCCCATCCACCTGGTGGGACAGACACTGTTCTTAGTGCTCTATGAGTATCAGGTACTATTACCTTGAATCCTTATGGATAATTTAACAACTCCAACCTCCAGTAGCATGCACAGGCTGACCAGAACTCTGCTAAATACTCAAGAGGAATCCCCTGCAGATTTCCAGAGTTCTCTAGCTGGGTAGCTCCCTCCTTTTAGGTAACCCATCCTGTAACCTCTGCTTACCTTGATCTTCTAGGGCTCTCAGTTCTATCTTTTGAACTCAGGGAGTCCGTTGGGTTCTTTCTGAGTTTCCCCTTCCTGTACCATGGCTTGAAAACTTGCCTAAGACAGTAATCTCAGGAAATTATAAGACAAACCCTATTTGTTTCTGATCTCACAGCTATCACTATTCCTTGATATCTGATATCTAGTGTCTTGAAATCATTGTTTTCCACATTTTGTTCTTTTTGTTGTTGTTGTTGGTTCAGGTGAGAGGGGAAATATAGTTTCTGCTATTCTATCTTGGCTGAAAGTGGAAGTCTAAAGTCTCAGTAAGTTTTTAGTTTCAATTATAACATTTTTTTCCTATAATGTCCATTGACTATTTTTTAAATATTTCTTGTTCTTTTTTTCTTCATCTTTTCCAATTCCTTCATCAATTTAATATTTGCTTCTTAAATAGTATTGAATAAATTGATTATTTTATCTTGCTACAGTACCAGTTTCTTTTTAGCTATTCCAGTTGACTCTGCTTTATGGTAGCTTCTTTTTTGTATATTCTGTAATTTTTATTTTTAGAGATGTTTTTAGACACAGAAAAAAGGAGCAGTTAGTACAGAGAGTTCCCATATATTTCCTCCCCTCAACCCCATTCCCACCCCACACAGTTTATTCTGTTATTAACATTATACATTAATGTGCTGCATTTGTTATAATTGATAAAAATAATGTTGATTCATTACTCACTATAGTTCATAGTTTCTATTAGGGTTCACTTTTTCTTTTATGCACTTCTATGGGTGTAAAATTTCATGTGTCACCATTACGGTATTATACAATATAGTTTTATTGTTTCAAAAATCCCCTGTGGCCTTGGCCGGTTTGGCTCAGTGGTTAGAGCATCGGCCTGCGGTCCAGGGAGACCCGGGTTTGGTTCCCACTAAGGGCGCATACCTCAGTTGCAGTTTGTCCCTGGCCCTGGACGGGTCGTGCGGGTGGCAGCCACTCGATGTGTCCCTTTCATGTCGATGGTTCTCTCTCTGTCTCTTCCTCTCTCTCTCCCTCCCACTCTATCTGAACAAAAAATGGAGAAATGTCCTCGAGTGAGAATAAAAAAAATCCTCTGTGCTCTACCTATTCATCTCTCCCTTTCTCTCTTTCCCTGAACCTCTGATAACCACTACTCTGTGATTACAGGTGTGGGGAGAAATTTTCCCTCTCTTCAGAGCTGAGCCTAACCTTGATAAATAAATATCCTTGTAATGTCCCTACTACAGCAGTTGAGCTTCTTGATCCAGCCTTTCACTAAGGATGCAACACTTCAGCACCTTCCGCTTTATTCTGTGATCTCAGTTCCGATGTCTCATCTTGCTGAGGCTCAAGGCTTGTTTCCTGAACTCACTGAGCTATTAAACCTAAACCTGTGAGTGAGGTGAATCAGTAAGTTTTACCAGGACAACCGCAGCCTCATGTTCAACTTGAGTAACCACTTTTATTTTCAAAACTCTCTTAGTTTTTTGTCTCTGAGGATTTCCCCAACTTCATCAGGAGCTCAGCTATGAAATTTAAAATGTAATTTTGCCATTTACCCTTCATTTTTAGATGTCTATTGAGATGTTTTATGTCTAATTCATACATTGCCAAACACAGAAGGTCAATGGGGTTGAACAGCCACTTTCAACTGATTTTTCACAAAGCAAACAGCCTGTCCAGATATCTGCTGGCTGTCTCCAAGAAGGAACTGATTGGATTCCATTAGAAGCAATTTTTTTTTTTCTTGTTAATCTCTTAAGGGTAGAATCTACAACGGCTTTCTCCTGTTACATTTTCACAATTCTTACACAGAGTAGGCATTCAATGAAGCTTGGTTGAGTAAATTTTTTTAATTGAATGATACAATAAATGAGTGATATGGCTGATTCTTGACATAGCAAAGCCTCATAGACTATACAACAAGTTCACTTTTAAGCCAAGAGCTTGGATTTTCAGTAGTAATTTAGAAACCAGCCTTCAAATACATCTGGGCATTTCTATTTGGGGAAGAACTTGTCAGGTGCCAGAACAATGTTATATATTAATTCTCTGGGAAGGCTTGGGATACAACAAGCATACAGGTGTTTCCTGTTGAGACTCCAAGTTCCCATACAAGAACACAGAGGACAGCTGAGAAGAAAACTTAGCCCGCTTAATTACATTTGCCCCGTGTGCTGCATAAAAAGTCACTGACCAAAAATAACATGTTTAAGTAATGTTCAAGTTGAGATACAAACCAGCAACAGTCAGGAAATTCAAAATTAAATCTGATCTCCACCCTTCACTTGCCTCATTGTGCCCGGGCAGAACCGAGGTCAGAAATGAACTGGAGATACTGCAAAACATAGCCTGCAATGTTTCAGCCAAGTGAGGTCACGAGGAAAACTTAGTTAAAGCTTTGCTAGAGCAGCTTACAGGAGCACATTACTCTGAATATGAAATTAGAGTTTTGCCTTGATGGATGTGTCACCTACCCAAGGTAATTTGTTGGGAATAATTTGAAAATGTAAGTGACCATAATTAAGCTTCTGTTTTATTGAGTCTGGTCATTTGTCTCCAGGTGCACCCGTCTCTATACATTTGACACTGCAAATGCCTAGAATATAATGACACATTTCAGCCATTCAATTTTAAGTTAATGTTTGGGTATCTGTGAATTAAAAGAGGACATTAGAATTAATTTTAAAAGTTGCAATTAATATTTTATTCATATTTTTTATTCTGCAGAACCACAAGTGTGAGATAAATTCTCAGGGGTAATATTACCATCGCAGTCTGTTGCATACTGTAATACATTTCATACCACAGTGCAGCCCTTGGACACTCTTCCTCAGAATGAGAGACGCCACACTCAGCTTGGATTGCTAAAAACGTAGAGGAGCCCTGGCCAGTTTGGCTCAGCGGTTGGAGCATCGGCCTGCGGTACAGAGAGAGCCAGGTTCAGTTCCCGCTAAGGGCACGTACCTCGGTTGCAGTTTGTCCCTGGCCCTGGTTGGTCGTACAGGTGGCAGCCACTCGATGTGTCCCTTCACATCGATGTTTCTCTCTCTCTCTCTCTTCCTCTCTCTCCCCCCCGCTCTATCTGAACAAAAAATGGAAAAATATCCTCAGGTGAGGATAAAAACAAAAACAAAAACAAACAAACAAACAAAAAACATAGAGGAAGGTTTTTTCTTCCCTTGCGGTTCTCAACCTGTGGGTTGTGACTCCTTTGGGAGTCAAACAACCTTTTCGCAGGGGTCGCCTAAGACAACAGTAGCAAAATTTCAGTTATGAAGTAGCAACAAAAATAATTTTATGGTTGGGGGTCACCACAACATGAGGAACTGTATTAAAGGGTCGCAGCATTAGGAAGCTTGAGAACCACTAATCAGTTTAGACTGTCCTTTAGGTATATTTGTACTTTCCTTTTAGAAGTATCTCTAATTCCAGAACAAATAATTAATTTCTTTCAATTTCATTAGAGACTGCTTAGTATTAATAAAGCTATTTTTGCCTGGCCGTTGGGGCTCAGTGGATTGAGCATCAACCCATGGACTGGGAGGTCCCAGTTCAATCCTGGTCAGGGCACTGTCTGGATTTCAGGCTCAATCCCCAGTGGGATTGAGGCAGCCGATCGATCTTTCTCACATCGATGTTTCTATCTCTCTTTCCCTTCCTCTCTCCTAAAAAATAATCAATAAAAACATATTTTAAAAATAAATAAATAAAGCTATTTTCTTTAAAGAAAACAATATATCTTTTTTTTTAATAAAAAAGAGTAAAAAGAAAACAGCTGTAAAAAATACCAGATAGTACCAGAAATGTAATTTTTTTCAT